CCCCCCCCCCCCCGCCCCCCTCCTCCTCCCTTCTACCAGCCCATTGCACCCCGCTGCACCTTTTGGTTCCTGTTCCATCTTTTCTCATTCTTAAATTTTGTTTAGGAGAATTGTTAAGGTGTTGCTGATTGTCAGGGGGATGTATCTCGCTTTCCCTCCAACCACTGGTGATGAGGTAGTTCTTGCCCCCTTTCTTTTGTCTACTTTCTTTTTGAGTGTGGGCCAGTTTACCCTGGTGGTACCTCGTCTTCATTCTCTGCTGTTCGTCTTTATTCTCTGCTGTTTCTCCAAACCGCTTATATTGTAAATGCCTGTTGTGTGCAGGCGCCGTCCGAATGTCACTGCGTTTTACATATGGATTTTGTTCCTAATCTCATGCTCGCTTTTCATTATTTCATCAATTTTCATGTCAATTTCATCCTGCAAGCTGTTTTTATTTTCACGGGGCCAGCCCCTAACCTCCTTGCTGTATCGATCTGATTTCACCAGGATTCATACTCATGACCTGATTATTAGCAGCTTGCTTGCGTGTGCCACTGTGCCATTTAGCTGCATGAGATGGGTACTTCATCTCTGCAGACGGATTAAGGCTTTCCCACGTTTATGCCAAGGTTTTATTACATGGACCTCGCCTTACCCAAGAGCCTAGCTCAGTGGGTACACCCGTGAACTGTTGAAATACAGACTGGAGTTCGAATCCACATGGCGGTTATGGATTAATAAAACTAAAGTTGCCTGAATTGCCTGAATTGCCTGAACTGCCTGGGGCCATTCAGCTCAATGATTATATCTCAAGGCCGTTACCCTTTAAAAACAAATATAAAAAAAGTTGGACCTCGCCTTGGTCGAAAAGAGACTTTCAGCGTGTTTGTCATAATTTTGTATAGAATCTGTACCTAGGTAGTCTGGGAAGATGACTGGCAGGCCCTGAGGGACTGTCCGTGTCTGGATCTGAATGTCTGTGGTGGACTACCAGCCAGGCATCGTATGTCAGGCTGTTTGAAATAGGAATGTTTTCAAAAGCTTTCGACTGTTAAAGTTTTCTAAAATGTCTCGAAAGGCTGAAATAAGTGTGGTGTAATTGGAATGCAGACAGGTCCCAAAATTCAGGCAAGGACCCAGTCTACCTGAGTGACTCACTGGTCTGTCTGTTGGTAATCATGATCCCTACCCGGGTTCAAATCCCAGGTTCAGTGAAGTGTGTTTTTTGTGTGTATGTGTGCACGCATGCCTGTGTGTGTGTGTGTGTATTCCTGTATGTTTGTTTGTGTGTGTGTGTGTGTGTGCGTGTGTGTGTGTGCGTGTGTGTGTGTGTGTGTGTGTGTGTGTGGGCATGGCTCTCTTTTGTGCCCCATCCGAAATTGCGAAACTCCGGTGCGGACACGCATGGCTGACCTTTTTCTGTGCAGGCATGACTCTGTCAACAGGAAAAAAGAACAAAAAGACAAAGATCAAACTGTGGCATGCTGCACGGTCATAATCAAACAGACACTGGTCAATGAAACTCCGTGCACAATCAGAGATGCACAAGTGCACAAGGAACAAAAACTGCAGCCTGCACACTACATCAAAAAACACGTGTGCATGCAAAAGTGGGTGCTGGACGGGAAAAGGGGACGCGCCAGGGATGCTGGCATAGAACTTTCTGTGGGCTTCATGGAGTTGCATTGCCTGCTTTTTCCAATAGAGTATAGAAAGAGAGAAGCTAAATGCACTTCAATAAACCCCTTCGAGCCCCTTTCAAGACCCTCCCAACCCCCTTTGATCCTCTTCGGAAACCTATGACCCTTAAGCCACAAGTGGGTTTCCCAGCCAGTTTTCTAAGATGCGCGGGGCATGCAGGCGTGTGTGTGGGATGTACCGCGGCGCAAACGTACGGCCTCGAAATCCATCCAGGCAAAATGGGTCGCATGCAAGGCCCAATTTGCCTGGATGGAATTCCTGCATGCGTGGCGGGTCTTTGAAAAGTGGCTGGGAAACGTATTGTTAGGTGGTTTATCAAGTTTAAACATGAACTTGCTGGGATTACAGCTCTATTTTGACACGCACAAAATGACCATTCCGGCCCTGACCTGAGGAGGTGTCTTCATGTTCATGCCAAGAAAGCACAAAACCTAAACCTGAGAAGATGTCTCATGGGCTGTTTCTCACTTGTCGGATTTTTAGATAAGTTGCGACCTTCCTCCCCCATATAGAATGTACGGTCATTATAATGCCCGTGCATTCGCTTTGGGTTGGCCCTGACAACCAGGCTGTATGTACGCCCTTGGCCAAATGGGTGAACTACCAGAACCTGAGGGGCAGGCCCCACTGGTGCTTTGTTCATGCTTGAAAAGCAAGAACCTGGCTGTATTGATGGCCAGCTTCATGCTTTCCTAGCATGAACATAGCACCGACGAGCCCTTGCCCTGATTTTGTACACTTGGATGCAGGACACCATCAGAACCAACAACAATGTCACGCGTCCATTTACCCTGTTTCACTGCATGAGGACGTGGAGCCTGATCTTCAATAAGGTCCGTGCGAATGTCAACAGAAAAAAAAAGGGAGACAAGGTAATCATTGAGGGGATTGATACTGACACTGAATCTCTTGCTGAGGGTTGGATGCATATGTTCAAAGGCCATACGGATGGATCTGGGAAAATGAGTTGGGGCTGTGAAGAACATTCTCTCCAATAATGTGCTTATTAGCTCAGTTGGCACACCCACAAGCTGTTGAAATATGAATCAGACCCAAGTTCGAATCCAGATACAATCAGATGACCAAAATAAAAATCATTGTGAATCACCTGGGGCTGGTCAGTTGAATATGATGATGGTATCTCAAGGCCGTCGCCCCTTTTCAAAACAAAAAGAAAGAAACAAAAGAACATGGGCACAGCTGGAGGAGGAGGAGGAGGAGAAGGAAAGCGGAAAGCAGCAGGCGTCCCTCCAGGTTGCAGACGCTCAACATGGGGTTATTGATGCACACAGAGGAGATGGAAATCCTAAACATAGCAGGTAGAGAGAGAAACCCTTCTTATGCTCGTATCTCCTCCTCCCTTCTTTCCTTAGGCCTTCTTTCTCCCTACCTCCTCTTCTTCTCCAGCTGCTTCTGACCTCCCATTGTTGTTATCACACTCTTTTTTTTTTCTCTTCTAATTTGGACCATTTCTTGATTTATGTGTGTCATCCATGTGCAGGGGCCATGCTAATCTTCTGTGTATCGTTCCAAATTTTAATGGATGTCCCGAACGACATTGTTATCGCTCTCTATTTTTTTTTGGGAAAGATTTTCTCCTTGAAGGCTTGAAGGGTCTGAAAAGTGATCTCAGTGTGGTCAAGTAGCAAAGGTGGTGGCTCTCTTGTTTGCCTCTGTTTCTTGTTCGCGGGGTAGTCTGAAGAACCTGCCTCAGAGAAAGGTCTGCACTGTTCTGCTGCTACAACCACACTTTCAGCTGGCAAGTATGGCGGACAAAATGCCTTGTTGCTTCGTTATCTTCGGCGATGGCTTTCTCCGCTCAGACGTCTTTGGAGCAGGCACGACTTCCCTGGACTCAAACAGTTGGACAGGACTCCACAATCTGGCAAAGGCAGGCGTTAGTGGATTTCTTGCACTGCGCAAGCTTCCAGAACAAGGTAGGAAAATGCCCTCCCCCACCTCCTCCTCCTCCTCCTCCTCGTTCTATTCCATAAGGTGTACTTGCTGGCTGCATCATTCTTGTGTCTTCCTCCTTCCCATGCTCATGCTTGTCATCCTCGCTGTCATAGGCATCGTTGTCATCCTCCTCCTGTGATGCCACCAGTGCTACCTCCTCCTCTTACTGCTGCTTACTTATTCATGCCCTGCATCGTCCTCCAGCGCCTGGAAGCACCCCCTGCTAAGCCTTGAACTCCTGCTGACCGACCATCTGGCCCTGAGTTATGGACATAGTTAAGGTGTTCTTTTTTTTTTTTTTTTTTTTTTTTTTCACAAAACAGGTCTCATATATTCATAAACATTCGAGGCCGGGGAAGGTGTTCTTTTTGTGATGTAGTACTCGTTGTGTTGGCGACACTCTGGACACATTGTCCAGTTGAAGTTTGATTTTTCTTTTATTTTTTTTTAACAAAGCCCCATCTATTCTGGGGGGCATCAGTCTGGTTGCTCATCACCGGCAAGCCAAAAGTACATGAGAAGCAGTTGAAGGGGAAAAGAAAGAGTAGATCAGATCAGACTCAGATACAGCCACCCTTGCAGCTCTAGTCGCTTACACAAGGGGGGTTTTGCTTCGGCCGCTCTCCCCCCGAACCATGACTGATTTGCAGGGTGCAATTATTGGCCGGGGAGCTTACTGATTTCTGTACTTAGCCATGTTTTTTATTCTGTGCTTACTGTGCATTCTGGGCAACTTGCAGCCTAGATACAGATGCAGTACTTGCTGTTGCCAGTGACACTCTGGACATATGGATATGTCCAGTTGTAGTTCGATGTCTGTACTTAGCTATGTTTTTTATTCTGTACTTGCTGTGCATTCGGGGCAACTTGCAGCCTAGATACAGTGATAATGGCACTCTGCTGCTGTCCATCTTGGTTCGTTTGAGTTATAGACATAGTTGGTTGACTGTAAGCACCACGTCTGTCTATGTCGCAAAGGAAGGTACCATCTTCCCGGGAATAGATCGTATGGTCATTACAGCTGTATTTGGGGCAACTTTCAGTCTAGTGAAAGGATTGCATGCTGCAGACACCCCGAGTCCCGGTTGCAGGAGTTCCAGTTGGTCCCACTCCCAGAAGGTCCTGGTCCACTAGGTCCTGGTATGCTGAGTCCCAGGCTAGGGTCCAAAGGTCCAGCAGGCCACGGTCGAAGCATCGTACGTTAAAGTTGGGCCGGTACGAAAACGTCAGGTCGTTGTAAGTCCAGTCTGGTACCCAACAGAAAAAGTCCAGTCCCAAGTCCAATTTTTGCAGCAATTCCCAGGAAAGTCCGGAACATCCCGGACTGACAAAGATCATGCAGAAGACAGGCAGCGGGTGACTGGTACTGGTCTGAAGCAGGCCGAAGTACAGTCACGTTCCTATTTATAGCTGCTGCAGTGCAGCGGCCCTGCAGTTGTTCACTCGCAAAGTTGCGGAAGCGCTGCTGGCTGCTTGTGTGACCACGCGACTTGGGAAGTAGAACGCCTGGAGGTCGACATAGCTAGGATTGAGTAGGGAGACCGGTGGGGATACCTGCCAAGGTTGGAGCTGAGTCTGAAGCGGGTGTATCCAGAGTACGATCTAGGGTAGCGGAGTGTGAGGCTGAGCGGTCCAAGCTGGAGAGAGAGAGAGAGAGAGAGAGAGAGAGAGAGAGAGAGAGAGAGAGAGAGAGAGA